TGAAACTGTCCTACCAATTTAGTTTGAAACTGTCTCATTGCTATTTATCAGTAAAATTATGGAAAAATAAAAAAAGAAGGAAAAATGTCCATTTTGGTGGCAGAAGCACCTGAAGTGCCTGCTTGGCAAGCACTTGGTCCCAAATTTGATTCCTGATGCCAAAGAAAAGGTTTATGTGAACTTAGAGTCACTTCATTGAAGGCAACTGTAAGAACAGACCCCAGACTAAAATGCCAAATAAGTGCATGGCAAAGTTAAAGAATAAGCTGCTGCCAGAGAATCAGGTAGATGGGTGTGTGCTTGTGCTGGAGGTGGGAAGAGTGTACAGGGAGAAATCCTTTCGTGATTACCTGTGTACACTGAAAAGAGGCCGGGCCAGAAGGACGCAGAATGCAGATGGGGAGGCTCCCTCCGCCCAGGAGCCAGAGCAGGGAACAGCGTCAGAGGCAGGGACAGATTCCGCCTCGGGGTCGCCAAGGGGTGCCTAGCAGGAGGAAGCACAGTGGTCATTTCCAGGGTCCTTGGTGAGGAAGAAGGGAGTTTATTTGCCGTTAGAAAGGTGATAGCAGGAAGCTTAGCAGCCTGGAAAAACTGGAAATGATACTGCCTGAATGAGAAGGTTCAAATGTGAGTTTTATTAGGTGTCTAAACATTTGAGATATTTTGTATCATACTGCTTTGTACTTGGCAAAAGACCTTGTCAGAAAGTGATGAAACATTTCTTTTCTCTCAGATGGTTAAAGGAAAAGTGAGAGCCGGGAAGGTAGACTGCCAGGCGTATGCCCAGACCTGCCAGAAAGCCGGGATTCGTGCCTATCCAACAGTTAAGCTTTACACCTATGACAGAGCCAAGGTAGGTGCCGCTTTCCTCAGGGACCCTACCCCACATGGGCCAGGTGCAGCAAGAAATTGGTTTGGGTTTTGGGGTTTTGTTTTTTTTGGGGGGGGGGGAGCTGGTTTGTAAGTGAATAATTTTTTCTAGTTCCTTCTCCCTTTGTCATTTTACTGCCTATTACTGAAATAGGCCTTTTATTTATATTCACACCAAGTATTCTTACAAAGGTTGTGCTGTCCTGTGATGGATGGGCTTCTCAGTTGCCTTAAAATATTTTGTACTCATCAATATAAAGAAACCTAATAGGGGCCGGCGAAGTAGCTCAGCAGAG